GTCTGCATGGGATCAGAAAACCTGCACTGAGTCCATTCCTGCTCCCTACAGTGGGAATTGCAGCTGCTTCTAGAGTTCATTTTCCCTGGGCCCCCTAAGGCCTTCCAGTACCCAAAGGATGGTCTGTCTCTGGGAACATTTTTCACTGAAACCTCAGTACTTCAGACTGGGAGAGTGAACAGAATTAATGAAAAGACAATGAATTAAAAGTGCTAAATTGACCTGCCTTTTTAAAGCTGGGTTAGAGCTCAGTGAGTGTCCCCAGCCTCTCCAGGCACATCTTCCTACCTAGGCCCACAGGAGAATAACCCTGTAGGCTGGGGAGCCAATGTTTTGAGAGATGCTGGTAGCAGGCACAGAGCAGCAGTGGGGGCCTGGGGAGAGGCAATTACCTGCCACTTTACAGCTCATGTCTGCCCCCCCACCCCCACCTGGGACACTGCCAGGAATTCCTTCAGAGACCGTATTCCTCCAGACAGGCAGTTCTTTTCCCACAGTCAGGCAAAGATCCCCAAAACATACTCTTATGTGAAAAAAAAGGCAGAAAGTAATTTGTAGAGGTTACAATGGAGGAATAGCCTCCCCAGAAAGTTGAGATAGGTTTTTTCCAGTATGTGCAACCTTAGTATGTAGAACTAAGGTCAGTGGAGGCCCTGTGTCTTGGGAGAAACTGTTACTAAAAGAATGCAGGTGACCTAGATTTAGGTCCAGCTTCAGGAATAAGCGATCTTAAAGAATAACCTATTTTAAGACAGAGCAAACCCCGAGAAGTAAGGAGGAGCCATCTCCTCCTTGGTGACGTGGACTCCTCGTTTTGCACCCATCCCAGGCTGGGGAGATTCATTGCCTGTTGTTGGCAGATGAAAAGATAATTTTGGCGCCTTTGGCAGATTTTTCTTTTTCCTGCGGTAGATTTCTACAGGTCCTTAATACTAAATTAGGGGACAGACCAGCATCCTCCCTTAGCATACTCTTAGTTGCAGGCAGACACCGCCCTTATATCCCCTCACTTGGGCACAGGTGTCCCCATTTACACATGCGCACCTAACGTGCACACACAATGCTCCCTGCGCCCGGATGTCCACACTCATAGGAGGCGCTCAAGGCTGCAGGTGCTAGCCATAGAGGCTAATGGCAGGAGGGCATTAAAAAGCCTGATTTTTTTTATGTCAATAAATCATTTACTGCAAATTTAAGTGACTAATTTACAAAGGAATTAAATTAGAATTTGGATGTTTTTCCTATAGTTGTTTTTTTATATTAATTTTTTTTATTTTTTTACATCATTGTTCATTTTTAAACAATATTTGCTTCCCCCCAACCCCTCAGGTGTAGTCCCCATAGTTTCCTTCCCCAATGCACCCGTGCACCATCACCTCAGTCCCCTGTGCTCCTCCCTCCCTCCCTCTCATCCCTCTCCCGCCTCCTCCCCTGCAGGATGTCTCTGGTTTGTAATTGTCCATTTTTGCTTTGTTGTGTTTTATACTATTATTATTTTGATTCAGAAGAACACCTGTACACCTATGTTTATTGCAGCACTATTTACAATAGGTAAAACCTGGAAACAACCAAAATGCCCGAAAATAGATGACCGGATCAAGAAGATGTGGCACATATACACAATGGAATATTACTCAGCAATCAAAAAAGATAAATTCATGACATTCGCAGCAACGTGGATGGAACTAGAAGGAATTGTGCTCAGTTAAATAAGCCAGAAGGAAAAAGAAAAATATCGGATGGTTTCACTTATAGCAGGAATATAGGGGAACCAAATAAGACATCAGTATAAAAAAAATAACAACAGTACAAAACACAACAAAGTAAAAAGCCTGATTTCTGACTCGTTTACGCTACACCCCTTTTCTTTCTGTGTTGCCCCAGTTTCCTTAGCACAAGATATAAACCCCCAGATGTCCCATTTACTGCAGGATTTACAGTATATATTTAAATTTGGTCTTTTCCTCCTACTGATCTGTCTGATGTTTATTTGTAAGTTCATCCAGCCTGAGAAGAACCCAGAGAGGGGGAAATCTCCACGGCATCCTGATACCACTTATGTTAAAAGGGAAAAAAAGGATAGATGAATATACATGTGCATTTACTTATATTTGCAATAAAAGGCCTCTGGGAAGAGTCTCAAAAAACCAGTAACAGTAGTTACTATCAGGGGCTGGGAGAGCTCTTCCCACCGTCTTTGAGCTATAAGAATGAAATGAAGGGCCTCCCCTGGTGGCACAGGCGTTTGAGCGCCACGCTGTGAAGCTGCCCACAGCTTCTGCAGCCCTGCTTCGATCCCAGACCTCTCCTATCTCGCCCACTGCTCCCCTCAGCAGTGTATTTCGTCAGTCTGCCTGTTCTGTTCCCTGCTCTATCTCCGGTGAATCCTCTCACCCTCCCGCACATCTGGCCTGTACCCCGGTTCTTGTATAAATAAATAAATAAATCTTAAAAAAAAAAAAGAATGAAATGAAATCAAAAAAGCAATACGATGCTGTGGAAGCTGGACTATCTAAGTGTTAACACCTGACAATAATGCTCACCACCTTATTGGAGGGCCTGGTAATCTGAATGGAGCCTGGCTCTCCACCAGGTTGAGAAATGCCTGGATTTGCTACTACTCTGGGGCCTGGTGAGGGGGAAGACAGAGAGGGACTGATCTTGGGAAAGTCACACTGGTTCTCTGTGAAGGTTTTAATACCCTACTCTGACATAGATTTACTTTGATACAACCTCCTTCTTAAAGCTTCGTCTCAAAAGATTTTAAATGTTTCAGTAAGAAACTCATGAGACAAATATCTGTGCAAGATTCATTTCAATCAGCTGTAACATCACAAACCATCCAAAAATAGCCATCGATGCTGAATTTGGAGGTTGAACTAGGAAACCCAGTGAGTGTATATAAACAGTGCATCCATATTGAAGGCAAGAGTTTTCCTGATTTCATGGGAAGCTGGAGTACACGGTACAGTATACTGCACACAGAGTATACTGTACTTAGTCAAATGCCCTAAATTAGTACCAAAAAAATTAGCCATTGCTCTGACAAGCTGTTTCAATGAATATTGTGTGTCACAAACATAAGGAGTGCTTAAGGCATTTGCAGCTTCACATGACTCGATGAAAGTCAATTACACTCAGGTGAGTTGCTCAAGTGCAGCACTGGCGCTCTGCTGGGGTGAACAGGCTTGCTGCTGGGTGGATGGTACTAGGGACATTCATCTGAGTCACACAGCTCATCTCTAAAGTTAGCTGTTCTGGAACATCCCCACTGCGTCACTTGTTCAAGTGAATGAACTTTGAAAGTCCAAAAATCTCCCAAAGGATGCATCAAGATTCAACAATCAGAACGAACCATAACAAACAAATGCTCCATTTAGCAAAACAAAATCCCCAAATCAAAACTCCCTTAATCTGCCCCAAAAAAACCTCCCAACATCTTTCTGCAGAATCTTGGCTCTGCAGCACTGCCAGCTGCCGGGGGCATCACGTTCCTCTGTGGGGCCCGGGGCCAGTGAACAACACAGGTCTCGCCCCCCTGACTGCGCCTGCAGAGAGAAGCCAGAGAACCGTTTCCTATTTTTCACTCTCAGGTCTCAGAGGAACAGTTCAACCATCAGGTGTACCAAATTAGACGGAAAATGAAGTTCCTCTTTCAGATCAGTGGAATGAGAAGCTCTCCACTTAACCCCAAGTTCTTTGCACAAGCAACAAGGCACTGGGGGGCCAAGGGTTTTGCAGTTCCGATCCTTGCCCCAATCAAATCAGTTTCCACCCAACAGAGAGAGTCCATCCTGACATTAAGAGGTAAAAGCAGGCCTCCCTCCACCTCTCCCCCCTACCCCTACCGTGGCACAGCCAGTTGAGTGCAGCACTGTGAAGCTGTCCGCAGCCTCTGCAGCGCGGGTTCCATGCCGGCCGGCCAGGGAGCTACCCACATGGTGCAGCAGACCTCTCCTGTCTCGCCTGCTATTCCCCTCAGCAGTGTATTTCAGTCAGCCTGCCTGTTCTGCTCCCCACTCTGTCTCTGGTGAATCTTCTCACCTGCTTGCATCTCTGGCCTGTACCCCAGTTCTTGTATGCATGAATAATCTTAAAAAAAAAAAGAGGTAAAGGCAGTTCATTTGAGTGTGCTCCATCTTTGAGCAGCATTGTGCTAAAGCCTCAAGGCAGGAAGAACTGGGAGACCAGTTCAAGGAGGCCCTGAGACAGGATTGATGGATTCTGTAACTCAGTGGCTCTCAGCAACATCAGAACCTTGGGGCACCAGCTAGAAATGCAGTCTTGGTCCTACCGGGGCTTGCCAGGAGCGGAGGGCAGAGGGCAGGGTTGGTTTTGTAACAACCCCTGCAAGGATTCTGAGGCAGGCTAAGGAACCAATGTTTAATGTCACACAAATCCTGGCTGAGCCTTATTGTAGGCTCCCAGAAACACAGAAAACCTCCCAGGCTGTGTCTGTCCATGTAGCGGGGTGTGGGCAGGAAGGGCCAGGCCTGGGGCAAGAGGGTCTTTGCTGACTAGCAGATGCACCTCCCAGCTTCTCCCAGGGCTCAGGAGCCCCTGACCTCCAGGTGACCCTGACTCAGGTGTCTCTGGTTCAGTTTGCCCAACTGCAGAAAGTCCAGCACAAGGGGCCCTGAGTACCCCGGACAGGGGGTGGGTGCAAGAGGAGCCCTGAAGAGCCCTGCTTCAGAGCCCTGGGAAGTGTCAGGCACCAGGTCTAAACACAAGGGTTCTGGACCTCAGGAGGGAGCAGGTTTCACACCAAAGAGCATCCTGATGCATATGCACTGTCATCCTTGAGATCTTTAACAGAGGAAGCAATGGAATTTAAATCCATCCTTTATATATCCAGGCATATATATCTGCATCCAAATAGGAGTTGCTGGCCTAGAACAAGCCCTCCTAGACTCTAGGACCCCACCAAGACCCTCGGCCCAAATCATCACCCACTGAGAGTCTCCCTCACCCAGCACCTTCCCCCACCCAATGTCCCCACAACCTGCAGAGAGCCAACAGAACATTCCTTTTCGCTTTATTGGATACACCGGGTTTCGAGAGTTACAGGTGAGCCCCATCCCGGGGGCGGGAGGGAGGCAGTGTGCCTGCAGCCTTTCTCCAGCATGAGCTCTGAAATGAAAGGACCTCGCTTACATAGGGGACAAACACAAGCCAACAGAATACAATCAGGTGACATCCCAAAGTGGGGAACGTAAACACTTAAATTACTAAGTCATTATTTTAAAGCTCAAAATACTTCAATGGAAATGGCATACAAAAACCATATAAATTACATTTAAGGTCTGTACATGATTAAAAAAAATAACAATACTGTGCTCTGTACAATATTGCTTCCCTTGGAACATTCTAAACCCAAGAAACCAAGAAAGTGGGCAAAAGACATATGCAGTATCGTTAAAATCACTTCACAAAAATACAAAAATCATGTTGGTTTCTTTTAAGGCACAGTTTAATCGGGGAACTCCTAAGAAACCCCTTTTTCTTGTACTCAGGCAGGCAGCAGGCGGCAGTGCCCAGTTCCCATCAGTCTTTGGCAGCCAAAGAGGCATATATTAATGGCAGGAGGGCACACAGAGAAGAGCAGCCTCTTCATCCTCAGCCAACAGGCTGGCAGGTAGGATTCACAGAGCCGGAGGTCCCACCTTGGCAGGCCTGTTTTCTCAGAGGTTTGCACAAATGGATTCATATGCAAAGTGGAGGGAAGCTGCCACCTCTTTTCCCTTGAAGCATAGGTACTGCCCACCTCCAGTTTACCCCAGGAAAATGCAGGCAGTGGGGGCACCCCTTGCTGCTGGCCACCTCCACCTGGCCAGGCCCCTCGAATCACACGGTGGCCTCAGTGGCAGCTCTATGCAGGACAGGATGACAAAACCTCCCGTGAAGAACCTGCAAGCCAGTCATCAATACCCAGGGCTCGCCCTCTAAGGCGGCAGAGGTTTCCTGGAGCGCCCCGGCCCCGCTGCCCTCAGGCCTCCAGCTGCACCTCAGCCTCGTCCATCTGCAGAGTGTCGTTGTCTCCCAGCAGCTCGGTCTCCGGGACGGAGCCGTCCTCCTCTTCCTCCTCCGCTTCCTGCACGGGGCTCTGTGCCACATCTTCGGGGGTGTTCTGCACGTCCTCAGTGCCCTCTGACAGCAGGGCCGCCCTGTCCGCCACCGACGTGTTAGAGGGCGCGGTGGTGACATACCCTGTGCTGGTGGAGCCGCTGCCGCTGTGGTGGGAACCGGGCTTGGGGACCATCTGGGCGGGCACCTGCTGCGGGGCCATCTGCATCGGGATCTGGACAGGGTAAAAGTTGGGCAGGTAGGCCCCGTAGGCAGGCACCGGCTGGTACCCGTTGACGGGGATGTAGAGCTGGGGAGGGGCACCATGGGTCTGATCTGGCCCTTCATGGGGATGAACTGGGGCTGCGGGAAGGGCTGGGCCTTCTGCTTGGGGCCCCCGTAGCGGGCGTTGCTCACGTTGCTCACAGGGCTGGTGCTCAGGGAGCTGGTCTGTGTGGCATTGCTGGCTCCCGAGGTCTGTGCCGAGCTGTTGTAGGTAGACAGGTTGCCCCAGGCCCGGAGCCGGCTATGGATGTCCTTGAAGCGGGGCCGCCGGCTGGGGAACTCATTCCAGCACTCGATCATTAGGGCGTACACCCAGGCGGGACAGTCGTCCGGGCAGGGCAGCACCTGGCGGCTGCGGACCATCTCCACCACGTCCTGGTTGGAGTGGCCGCAGTAGGGCTGCAGGCCGTAGCTGAAAACCTCCCAGAGGACCACACCGTAGGACCAGATATCCGAGTCCACAGAGAACTTGCCGTACATGATGGCCTCGGGGACATCCAGCGGATGGGCAGCAGTGCACTCCCCATCAGCTTGTAGTAGTCGGCCGAGTACACCTCCCGGAACAGCCCCAGGTCCGAGATCTTCACATTCAGTTTGTCGTACACCAGGACGTTGCGCGTGGCCAGGTCCTTGTGGACCACGTGGTGACTGGACAGGTACTCCATGCCTGAGGCGATCTGAGCCACCACGTGCACGAAGTCGGGGGGCTCCAGGGCGGACTTCACTGTCCGGTCGTCATCCGTGCTGCCCACGTCCGAGTGCGGCGAGCGCATGACCAGGAACTCGTGGAGGTCACCGTGGGAGCAGTAGCTGAAGATCATGCTGAGTGGCTGGTCCTTGGTCACCACGCCCAGCAGGCAGACGATGTTGGGGTGCTGCAGCCGCGCCCGCAGCATGGCCTCGTGCCGGAACTCCTCCCGCAGCGGCCCCTCCGCTTTGTCCTTCAGTGTCTTGATGGCCACAGCCTGGGTCTGCTCCCCTGGGGCCGGACCAAACAGGTGGCCTTTGTAGACTTTGCCGAACCGGTCCTCCCCCAGCTCCTCCATGAACCTTACTGTGGACAGACTGATCTCCTTGAGTTTGGCCTGCTGAGAAGAAAAGCCAGTGAAACATCTCTGTCACCAAGACAGGGAGGGGAGCAGGCAGGCAGCGGACAGCATGGCCCCAAGGACCCACATGCCCCCCCCACCCAGACTCAGCCTCCCAGCCCAGGCAAAAGGCAGCCTGAAACCTTCAACGGGCCCCACCTGCCTGCCAAGTTATTTCCGACGTATGGCAGAAATGCTACCGCAGAGTGTGGGTGTGTACATGCCTATTCACACTCTCACACACTCACCTAGTCATGCCACGTGCCAGCATAAAGTACCCTGTGCCCCCCTGCTGTACCCTCACCTATGGCCTTTCCTGCTGCTCCCTGAGCTGCACCCACCAACCAAGTCAAGCCACCACTGCCAACAGCAGCGCAACCTAGTGTCGTAATGTCTTTCTCAGAACCTGGTCGCTGAGGGAGCGAGCTGTTGGAAGGAGGCACCTCAATGGGCCTGTTTTTGAGCCCCTCCTGATTAGACTCTCCATTCTGTGCAGCCAGCCTCATCTCCCTGAGCCCAGGGGGTTCCATATCCTCCCCAATTGAGCCTTCCCAGCACCCAGCAAACACTCAGTGACTGCTGTCTACAGAACAGGCATCAGTCATCTCCCCCGAAAACCCTGAAGAGCCCCTTCAAAGCCTGGATGATTCTCCCCAAACTGCTATTATAATGTCCTCCTGTGGGGACAGCTGCGGCCAAGACAGCAGCATTGCTCTAGGAGGCGGCCCATCAACTGTGCGGCTGTGAGCTCTGAGGCTGCCATCGAGTTCCCAGGGGCATCAGTCCTGAGCTATGTCAGAGAGGAAATGGCAGAGCGAAGGACAGCAGAAGAGACGTCTGTCTATCAGTAACTGGAGACCCATAACATCGGGTAACCACCCCCGAGAGAAGAGAAGGAGCAGCCCGAGCAACGTGTGGGCAGAGAGACCTGCTTGTGCTGGCTGATGAGGGGCATCTCCACGTCCTGGCTGGGGGAGGCCATCAGCTGGCGGCGCTGGGGCGTGGAGGCAGATGCCTTCTGCTTATTCCGGCACATGCAGACTAAGAAGAAGAGGCAGGCGATGACCAGGGGATGGCTATGCTTGGAACTAAGATGTACAGAATCCCCATCTTGCTGCTGTCTTGGGGCCTGTGGAGAGTAAGGAGCTGGTGAGTTTTCTGAAAGCATGCCCCTTTCCACTCAACATTCGCCACCAGCACACTGCACCCCCAACTCAAATATTTAAAGACAAGTGGACGATCAGGATAAGTTGCACAATGGGACAAACCTGTGCACAGACTTTAAAAATTGGGGACATGCCCCCAAATGCTCATCCTCCTGTACCTTGTGACACTTTGACAACTGCCCACCAGGCACACAAAATGAAACAGAGGACTAGCGCGATCTCAAAAGGCCTTGTTAGTCAAAGTCGCCAGTGCAGGTCCTCCTAATCTCAGACACCATCAGAAATGGGGGCGTCGTCTTATTTCATCTTTACTGAACTTGATGAAACACATCTGACACCTTCCTCCTTCCTTCCTAGGATTAGAAACGATTCCTCATTCAACATTTTAGTATTTTCCACATTTTTGTATGGTAGCATCTTCGTCAGGATGCCAATTAAAAACGCAATTAAAAGAGCCCTGGCAGCTGGTGAGGTTGACCCAATCCAACACGGACAGAAACAAGAATTCCTGAACAGTGACAGTAGATGTACAAGCTGTCTGGGGCTTCCCGACAAGGTTTTGTGTTTTCTGTTGTTTCCCCCCAGGGTGAAGAGTGGCGTGCTGTCTCCCTCTACAGGATTTTCGGAGCAGCAGACCTCAGGAACCAGGCAGGTTGTCCCCACCAAGGGGTTAGCGTTGGGGGTTCCGTGCTTTAAGGCAGCAGATCTATCTTCCACTGTGGGGATGTGGGGGGCGAGTTCTCCAAAAGCTGCCTCCCAATACCAACATGGGCCCAAGGGTGCATGACTAGTGGGCTAATGAGCTCTCTATCTGAAGCAAACAAGTGATTTATGCTCGCTGAGGTCCGTGAAAGAGCTGATTCGGTTCTAAAAACACCCGCAATTGTCTCCCATGGTTTAAAAAATAAAAATAAAAAAAAACCCTAAAACATTGTCCAAAACCCAAAACCCAGTCTATCCCTCTGGCCTCCAAAATAAGATAAAGCAAAGCAAATGGTTCTCGCGCCCTTGTGGGGACAGGAGTCACTGGCTCCATTTTCATTACTGATGAGATGCTGCCCCTCAGAGGAGATGCTGCCCCCTCAGGGGAGACGCTGCCCTCCCCCCTCAAGTCAAGATCAGACGTGTGAGCACTATCCAAACATGGATGACCATTTCACCAGCATCTTAAAAATTATCCACAGAACACATGCTTATTTTCATTGTAATAAACAAAACAGTGAATAT